GTATTTTAACAGCTTTTTCAAATAATCTAATTGATACAGTTCACCAAAATTTGACACATGGTAGTTTCTTAAAAATTTAGTTGCAATAAAGAATATAAAACTGTGTTGGTGAACTGATTCTCTTTTATTTAAACCCATTGGTCTTACTTACCCATAGATCTTTTTACTTATGTATGATTTTGGTCACTAAATTAGGCTGTCATCCAAATTTTGGCATGTTACACAGTATCAAAAAAAAAATCACATTTGTTAATATCACTACCAGTCTCATTTAAGAAGCCTTACTGATGGGGAAGCTGTCAAGCTTAGGGTGTTAGATGTAAATTTTTCAAAAGTTTAATTTTTACTTGAAAGCTAAACTTTTGTCATTGGCAAACACAGTATCAGCTGTTTTCCTTGAAGTGACAAGCTCAGTTTGTTCATTTTCAAGAAAATATCTGCCAAATACGCAATTCTAAATAACCGTAGTTTGTCCATTGCTTATTCTTCAAAATAAAAAGTTTTCCCAAGTCCAGGGGTCCTTCTGAACTGAGTCCTTTGTGACTGCATAGGTCCCACACCTTTGAAGCTGACCCTAACTTTGTTTCTTTCCTGTATGATTTTCATCACTACTTCCTTTTCCTCCTTGCTGCTCAGTTCTCTTATAGATACTGAAAGAAAATGGTAAGATCCCAAGCTAACTTTGGGTAGAATCAGAAGAATTTTAAAATATTTTACATTAAATAATTGTATTTTAAATGTATTAATTGTATTGGATGGTTACTAACAATCCATTTTGATAGTGATTTTAAAAATAGACATTTTTGGGGCGCCTGGGTGGCGCAGTCGGTTAAGCGTCCGACTTCAGCCAGGTCACGATCTCGCGGACCGCGAGTTAGAGCCCCACGTCGGGCTCTGGGCTGATGGCTCAGAGCCTGGAGCCTGTTTGCGATTCTGTGTCTCCCTCTCTCTCTGCCCCTCCCCCGTTCATGCTCTGTCTCTCTCTGTCCGAAAAATAAATAAATGTTGAAAAAAAAAATAGACATTTTTACTTAATTTATTTAGCATTTCTCATTTAGAGCTTTTTTCCCTTTAGGAATTTTATCTAACCACCCACCCAAATCCCCCCTCCCCCCCCCCCTGCCCCACCAAGAAAAAAGTACTAACACTCGTTCCCTATTAAGATAATTATAAACCATTATGTGGAATTACAAAATATTTAAAATTTTTATGTCATTTTGTATGGTAATGAAAATATAGTCATTATAAGTGTGAAATATCTGTTAGATAACATTTAAAAATGGAGTTTTGATCTTAGGTCAACCAATAAGACTAGTTTTAGGTTTCCTCCCCCATACCCTCAAAAAAATAAAAGATCACCATGGGTAGTTTTTAACAACATCCTGTGGGTGATTAATAGTTAATGTTCAGGATAATCTAATCCAATTTATTGCAAATTATTTCAGTTTGATTGTACAAAATAAACAAATAACCTAGTAATGTATTTAAAGTGTTTTTCTTCTCAAAATTCCAGCTCTTTCTACTGTTTTCCTAGATTTGAATTATTTTCTTTTTGTTACCCTCTACTTTGAATCCCTACTGTCTTTCTCTCTTTTTTTAATGGGCTCATTTTGTTTTGTTTTGTGTCCAAATAAAGATGCTGCTTTCAGTCTTTTCCATCCACTTGTTTTGCTTATGTTAAGACATTAGTGGCTAGTTTCCTTTGTCATCACAAAGTGTGATTTACTACTGATTGTGCTCAGAGGTTCAATGTAATTCAACAATCAACTGCTAAAGCAAATTATCGGAAAGGGTAGAGCTGCCTTTGGAAAGGGATGGAAAAATGCCCCTCTTTGCTCCACAAATTTAAAATGGTGGGCTGGTTTCTCTTGATGAAAGCTGAAATGGCCACATGAATATTCTGTAGGGTTAGTGGTTACTGTAGACCCAGGTATCCTTTCTTACATAGAGAAATGTCTCATTTTAAATAATTGTCTTGAGGTGCCTGGGTGGCTCAATAGACTGAGCGTCCAACTTCAGCCCAGGTCATGATCTTGAGGTCCATGGGTTCGAGCCCCGCGTCGGGTTCTGTGCTGACAGCTCAGAGTCTGAAGCCAGCTTCGGATTCTGTGTCTCCCCCTCTCTCTCTGCCCTTCCCCCACTTGCGTGCTGTCTCTCTCAAAAATTTAACATTAAAAAAATTAAAAATTTTTGAAAATAGTTGTTTTATTTTCTTCCCCACTTATTTCTTATAAAATAGAAGCCATCAAGAAAAATAGGTTTTGTTAAACATTTGTTCTAAGACAGTCTTTTAGTGAGCATTTCATATGATGAGCAATACATTTTCCTTAGGTCTACCACACTGTTGAACTGTCCAGGATGATTTCTAAAGTTCATCCCTCATTTCTTGTTTCCTGCTTTAACCCACTTAGTGTTGCGGGTCCAGCGTAGAATGAATGAATGCCTTATCTGTTTAGTATTTAATTATAGATTTATGATTATGTGTTAATACTATGAACTGCTACTTTATGGCACAACCAGGAGACATAGTCTCCAATGGATATGATCCATGTTGCCAGTTCCAACAATTGTAATAGTCTGATGTATATAATTAAGCGTGCTAGTATTATTCTTTTAAAATATCAGCATGGTAGTAAATGAAAATTTCAAATTGTAACTAAAATATGAATAGGTAAAATAGTCCATGTTTTTAGAGCTTTTAAGAAGAGGGAACAATTAGATGTGTGGTTTGGGCTTTGTTATTCATTTATTTATGAGGAGGATTAAATATTGTCCTCTAGAGCTCATGTGGTCATATAGCATAGGCTGACTTCTTTTTCAAGAGAACACTTAAAAAATTTCTGTGGCATCTAAAATATTTTCTATATTGACACAATCTTCTATATTTACTTATCTTCCAGGCAGATTTACCTTGAAGTATTTCCTGTCTGGAATATATTTAATAACAACAGAGGAGCAGTCGCATTTCTATTCCTGATAGTGAAGTACATTGATTAATGCTTTCATTTATAAGCATAGTCGTTTTCTTTTAGAATAAAGATTATCCAACCATTATGAAAACTTATACATTTTGGTATTTATTTAAAGACACTAGATTTTGAAAATGATAGTATG